ATCGAAGTAGTTACGGAAGATTTTATAAATAGGTAAAAAAAGAGGAATAAATAAGGAATAAATTTAGGTATTCAAAACGCGCTTATAATGTTAGCGCGCTAATATATTATACTTTACGTTACGCAGATTATAGAATTTTCGAGATAAAAACGCACTTTTATCGATAAAAGCGTTGTGAATATCTTAATATATATGTATATCGATGATTATTGCGATATTTCTTATTGTAGAATCGAGAAGATTAAAGGAGACGATGATGAGTTGCCTGGCGATTTCGATAACGAGATACATAAATGGGCTTTGGAATGTTAGTTCTTATGTAATTATATTATTCGCTTATCTTATGTAAAGTATTAACACGTTAATTGCGCATTACACAAAAAATTCCTTCTCTCTTTACGCTAATAATGGCTACTTCATAAATTGTATTTAAGATATTTTATATAACTTACACATTTTTAATATTGAACATTTTTGTCTATGAAATATTAAGCTTTTTATTTTTATTTTCTTATAGCTACAGTTGTTTTAAATTCAAAAATATTTGGAGTTTTATAAAAGTAGAAACTACTATGTATAAAATCATAGAGTGAATTCCGCATGTTTTACGCATGATGTGCATAATGTATCATTTACCTTGTTTAACATTCGGCGAATAACAAGGATAAACGATGCATCATGTGTAAAACGGAACGCAGCCATAATATTAATTAATATTATTCTAATTACTTTTGAAATTACTTGAAATAATTGGAAAAGAAGACTACTTTAAAATTAATGTAAACGGAATATTAAAGCTGCTTTTTTTCTTTTTCACATTATATCTATCTATAGAATTTTCTAAATTATACGTATGGCAAAATATAATTTGATTTTTATCAGTTTTTATTTGTTTTATGTGTATCATAACACGGTAGATACATATTTAGCTACAACATTTAACAAGACCTCTAACATATTTTACATATAACATAATTTAATTCACAGAGAGAAAGGTAGAAAGGAAGAGAAACTACTATTAGTGTTGAAATTCTTTCCGGAAAGAAAATCCAAGCGTTCTCGGTTTCATTATTGTGACTATTGGAACGTTCAATGACGATAATATGTACTATGTACTATGAATTATACATTTGATTCACTCGAGCAGGTATTGGACGTGTGGCACTCGATGTCAGACTCGGCTGCTTGAACGACACTTTGTCGTCGAATTCTGAACCGCAAAAGATTATCGATGCTGCCAAATTCGCGCTGAGAAATGTTGCTTTGCTCGAACTTAAAGCTCCGTATTGGAGATACATCCCAACGCCTCTCTGGAGTCGCTATGTACGCAATATGAATTATTTCATCGAGTAAGTTTAGAGAGACTAAGTAGATACGATAGAAAATCCTGTAAAAAGATATGCATGTATAAATAGGGAATAAAGTAAAAAAAAAAAACGATTGACAGAAACTTATATTGGGAAAATAAATTATAATTTTGAGGCAATTTGAGAAACAAAGAAACTTAGAAAATAAATAAATTATTTATTTGAGATTTAGACAAATAAAAGCAAATTCTCTTTTGTTTCTTTCGGTATTTTGTTACATCACTTAGCGCATGCGAAGTAGAAAATTATAGAAAGTGGAACACGGAAGAAGATCCATTTTAAATTAGCTATTAAATAATAAACTACGTTTATCCGAGTCGATTTAAAGTTATGACATCGATGTTATGAAACTAACCAATCACAGTCATTCCATTCTTCAGAGGAACAGCTATGATTGGCCACAATTTCATAACATCAATGTTGTAACTTTGGCGTAAATCGAACCGTGTAAATGTAGTCATAGTTAAGTAAACGCTCAATGTTATATAAATTTTTTTTTCAACTTAATTCAATTTACAAATAATTTGGTAATGATTTATTTCTGAAGCTCAACAATTAGTAATATTATATTAGTCGATAATCTGTAACAATGTACGTATGTTTCATTTTAGGATATGCATGAAGTACATTGACGCTGCGATAGTCAGGCTTAAAAATAAGAACGCCGTGGACGAGAGCGATTTGTCACTGATAGAACAAATTCTGGCCAAAGAGACAGATCCTAAGATAGCTTATATTTTTGCTCTCGATCTGATATTGGTTGGCATTGACACGGTAAGTCGCAATATCGTTATAGATTACAACTACTAATCGTATTACTTTTATTTAAAAAATTTACAATTAATTACTATTAATCCTTAAGTAGAGGTGCATTTACAAAATTACACAGCTATTGAAGTAAGCTTCTTTGGAGCTTCTCTCTCCAAAGAAAATTAAATTCTGGATTGTTCGATCCGTCTTTTCATAATATTTACTATGATTCCTTTCGGCGGGTTGAAAGTAGTTCATCTAAGGGATTAAGAGGAAGATAAAATGGCTCTAACTCCACGCGCCTACTTAAGGATTAATTAAATGTGTAATAATATTATGTATAAATGAAAAGTATATATATATATATATATACACACAAAAAGAATATTTTTGCTGAAATATAGAAAAATTAGGTCAGATTATACAGATCCGAAAATAATTACGTTGGATTATCAGAATAATTATGTAGAACGCTGAAACATGATATCTATAAATGCAGCAAAAAGCTTGAGCATTCTGACAACTTCCTTGAACGTCTAATATAATTATTTTGATAGTCCAGCACAGAGCCGCATTAATTACCATTTCGCATCCCTGGGTTAAAATATTTCAAGTGCCCTTTTAAAACATACAGGGTGAGGAAAAAGTTCAGGAAAACAAAGCATTTTTTATAGAAAAATTATATTTCCGTATATTATATATTATAGATATCGATGGCAGTGTGTTCGATATTATATCAGTTAGCAACTAGACCAGAAGAACAGGAGAAGATACATCAAGAGTTATTGCAAATACTGCCAGATCCATCCGTTTCTCTTACAACGAGCCATTTGGATCAAGCAAGCTATATGAAAGCTTTCATCCGCGAAGTATTTAGGTGATATTAATCGTCATAGTATTAATAAATTCTGATAATATAAAATTAACTTACTAAACAATTAATTTAATTGTTTACATGTGTTAATGATGGCCTGATTACTTTCGTAAATTAATGGATCTTATATGCGCTGCATTTTAGAGTATACTCCACTGTTATCGGAAACGGAAGAACATTGCAAAACGACACCATCATTTGCGGCTATAAAATTCCCAAAGGAGTATGTAGCACATTTTATTTTTAATTTTTATATTTCTCTAGTCTATTGCTTATTATGTTTATATAATTTATCATGCACAATTATTAATATACAATTATTTGCAAACATTATCTGTATATCAAAATAAGATGCTTTTCTTAACATAATTTTGTAGTCCTATAAGTAAAATTCCGTTATCTATACACAGATAAAATAATTTTACTAAGGCATTTAAAAATTCAGCTAGATATAAATCTGAAATAATTTTATTGAACTATTTCAATAATTATTTAAGATATTTAAGATGATTGTTAGAATATCAAAATTTTTTGTAACAATGTACAATTACGTATATGAGTGTCTTACATAATTATTTTGATAATCCAATAAAATTTTAATCATTCTGATCTGTAAGCTTTTTGAATACGCCAGCAAAATCATTCTTTCGTGCATACAATATTTAATAAAATTACGATATTAATGTTGTAAATAATTTTATTCGTGGCTGATTCATAGCGGACGTCGAATAGATATTAGGCGATCTAATGTAAAATAAAATTATTTTAGATTCAAGTTGTATTTCCAACCCTTGTCACCGGTAATATGGAGGAATATGTTGCGGACGCGAAGACGTTTAAGCCTTCAAGATGGCTCAAAGACTCCAATAATGAAAACCTACATCCATTTGCGTCGTTACCGTACGGTTACGGAGCACGAATGTGCTTGGGAAGACGATTTGCGGATCTCGAGATGCAAGTGCTCCTCGCGAAGGTATAATAGTGTTTTATACAGTGTTTTGTTATATCGTTTTAGTTAAGCTTATAAAAATTTGTGCTAAGAAATTAACAAAAAAAAAAAGCAAATATACTATTATAACGATATTATTTTCAGCTTCTCAGATCGTATAAACTGGAGTACCATCACCAGCCGTTAAAATACAAAGTCACGTTCATGTACGCGCCCGATGGAGAACTTAAATTTAAATTTATAAAAAGATAGTATCTAACAAGTACAATATATATATTGCAAAATGAATTCAAATTAAACGAAAAAAAGTATCTCAAAATTTGCAAGTAGTAATAAAAAAAAAATAATTGATTGCAATATTGTAGTCACATATTAATGTCAGATTACAAAACATTAGAATAAAACGTTTATAATTTATAGTCTAGTTAAGTCTAATAGTCATGTATATAATAAAGATAAAATGAACATATCCACTGTCAAATTCTAAAGCCTATTCTATAACAATGTGCTCTTTATTTCCTGTTTCTTGCTTTTTTTCCCTTTGCAATCGTTTTATCAACAATTGTATTTCTCGCTACATATTTCTTGTTTTTTTTTTCGAAATTCACTAACTTTTATCTTCGGTGACAAACAAAAAACCGGATAAGAAGCATAAAGATAAGATGTAAAAAATAGCAAAAAGCAAGAAACAGAAAACAAAAAGTACATTGTAGAACAGGCTTTTTTCAAAAGGAGGGGAGTCAGGATTAACCCGAAGAAAGGATACTCTGGAAAAATTCCTTGGGAGGAAAGGGCGTATATCTCTAACGATGTTGCAAAAACGGGGATCACACGAGATTCACTCTCAAGACCCTCATTCTTCGGACTCTCGTAACGAAGTCTGTCGTTTCTGCAAAAGAATCGCTATATATCTCCTCTCTTCGGTGCCACTGTCACAATTCAACCAATCCCAAGAGGGATTGGCGAAATACGGTATGAGAATGTGACCTACATGCGTCCACTGACATCGCAGTATTTCGTTGCTATGACAGATTTTCCTAACCTTAATTATCAATAATTCTCAATAATAATCGTCAGCAATAATTAATAGTCTTTAATTAATATCTCGATTCGCGAAGCAGAGCGATGTTTTTCTTAGTCAGATTCGTTTGTTTTGGACAAAAACGCGCTGAATGAGCTTAATTTCATCGATTTCTAAGGTGACGAGGTTAAAGTAGACAATTTCAAATTTTTACCAAAATATTTGCTACAAATTTTATCTAACAAAAAAAAAACAGATCTGATGTGACAGAATATATAACGTTGTGGGCAAAAAATAAAGTTTATCAATAAAACATGGTAGGTTGATGAGACTTAACTTTTTATTTGCTATATAATTTAACACAGATACCACTACTCTGCTGCTATTTTGTTGTGTTATAACCGATCGCAGTGTTAGATTATGTTAGAAGTTAGAATGTCAGTGAAACATAATTAAGCTTAATACTTTGACTATCAAGCTGATTTCGGTATTAAGTTTAACTCTCCAGCACCATCCTGAAATTTTCAATAGTTTATACTCTGAGCCGTTGAGAGAAACAGTATATATTTTTTATATCTAATATATTATAATATCTTCCATAATTTCTAATGTTTTTTTAATGTATTAAATCCTGAATGAAATTATTTTTAATTAAGTTAATAAAATCACGATAAGTAGTTGATGGAGTTTAATGCTTGTATAAAATACTAGATTACGTTTTATTCTTTTGTTGATATAACTTTATTTCATTTCTTTATTTTTGTATGTGTCAATTATTCCAATTTCTTAACAAAATTAAAGAAAAGAAATGGTATTTTTCAGATATATCTTGCTGTATTCTTATTATTAGTTGGATAATTCTTGATATAATTTGCTGTTATGCTATAAATACAATTGTGATCAAACATGATGACTTGGAACGTTCTTAAATGTACTTTTGGATTGTCAAGAAGTATTTTACGAAACAGGTGTGATATCTAATTATGAATTTTATAATATATCTAATAATGTGATATAAATCCCAAGTTATTTCTTTTTTTTTAAATAAATTTACTTTGTTTTACGTTGCTATATTTTTTATCTTATATAGATGGACTGGCAAAAGTTTTTCTTAAAAATTTTATGTAATTTTTTAGGATTTCTGTATAAATTTAAGAATTTCTTACAATTTCTATTTAATTTTGTAATTTCATAAAAATTGTTCACTTTTATAAATTGAAACACTTCTGAAATGCTGAGAAAGTTTATATTTTTTCTAGAATTCCTTGTATATGTAAATTATGAAATATAAAATTTCTCAGTTTATAATTTTTGAAGGAAACATAAAATCTGAAAAAGTTCAAAATATATTGTTAATAATCTTTATAAATTTAAAATATGAAAAATTTTTTAAATATATCACAAGAATTTTCCATTAAGCATATATCAATATCTTATTTACCTTAGGTTATATAAGTATATAAAAATATATATATATATAAATATATGTATTATATATAAAAATATGTATATAAGAAAATAAGGATTGATTACTCACTGCAGATTATCGGAATGTATCTATAAAAGCGTCAAACCAATGTCGTCGACAGTGGATCCTAAAGATGTTGAAAATCTCTCTGTTTTTAAAAATGACTGGTGGAATGAGAACGGCCAGATAATTGGCCTCCATTTATATGCTCCGTTCAGAACAAAGTTTGTGAGGAATGGATTGGCAAATGCCGGAGTCCAAATGCAGAATGCAGTTCTTCCATTGGAAGGAATCAAGATTGTGGACGTTGGCTGTGGCGGAGGTATATTGACTGAGCGTTTAGCTAGAATAGGAGCACAAGTAACCGGAATAGATGCATCGGCAGATTTAATAAATATTGCAAAAGAGCATGCAAAATTGGATCCTAATATAACAGAGAGAGTGAACTATATTCAAACAACTGTGGAAGACTTCTCTCAAAAGGAGAGGGAATCGTACGATGCTGTTGTGGCGTCTGAAGTCTTGGAGCATGTAGCGAATGCGCAACTATTTTTAAAGGTATATACAGGATGTCCTAGAAATAAGTGGCCGAACTTTGGTATCACATTCCTTAAATGAAAAAAGGCGATATAAATATAGATCCAAAAACTTTCTTTTTTTCAAAGATATAAACACTCTGTTTGCATGAACAGATATGTTCATGTAACACATGAAGTAAATATTGTGGTAGAGCAACATGATACTGTCGAAGGTAGCTTATCGACTATCGTGGATAGAAACTAAAAATTTCTATCTAAATGTTGCATAGTTAAAATATCTCAAAAAGGAAAAATTTCCAGATCTTTATATGACATTTTTTCATCCTTAAGGACAGTAAAATATACTAAAATGGCCACCTATTTCTGAAACACCCTGTATATTACGACAAAGGTATTATAAAAATTATTGAATATAAACATAAAATTAAATATTTTATGAATATTCTTTACAGAAATGCGTGGAAATTTTGAAACCTGGAGGATCGATTTTTATAACAACAGAAAATAGAACTGTAGCATCTTGGTTGCTCGTTATTGTAGCAGCAGAATACATTTTCAAAAAAATACCTCTTGGTACTCATGAATGGAATAAATTTATCACACCACACGAAGTCCAACATATATTGGATGGTTGTAAGTTTTATCCCCGCTATTATCTAATGAAAATTATCAAAACATTATCAAAAAGATATTTTATTTTATAAAGATATCTGTATGATTAAAACAATTTTGTAAATAATTACCATGTAAGCGCTTTTACATTGTGTTATAATTGTTTAAACTTTTTTTAAAAGATGGATGTAGAACGAGATTAATTCATGGATTCAAAATTAACCCATTGTCAAAACAGTGGTCTTGGTCATCATGTACAGCAACTTTTTATGGCCTTCATGCAATCAAACAAAAAGAAGCTAGCATATAATTTTCAGAACATGCAACTTTTTTGTTATTAAATGCAAAATTATATATTTTTATCATTTATCGATTGTAATATAATTGATATTATGTATGTGCTAAGAATTCCTATGATGTTATATTTATACGCACTAGAAAATTTAATATAAGAAATGTTTTGTGAGATAACGTGTTTAATAAAACACGTTAAAATGTTTAAATAAAACTGAAGGTTTGATACACGTAACCAATTTTAGATTTAAGAAATTTTCAGATTGTTAAATTTCCGAATAAGTGTCAAACATGGCTTTAGGATGCTCGGCACTTATCTTGTCAGCAACTGTTTAAAAATTGAATATTGTATTGATTTTGTTTTTGTTCAAAAAATATTGTAATTTTTATGCTGAGCGTTTATCTGCTGTCTATATCAAACTTTCGACAGCGAAAGGATTGATACATATTAATATTTTTATATTTTTTACATAACTTGTTCACAGTCCAATCTTCATATTTCGCGCTCTAGAAAATACTTATCAATGGCTACGTTTAGCAAAGGAAACTAATCAGTTAGTGTTTAGTAATTGTTTAATATAATTGGTTCCTACACTTAGATCCAACGAAGAACTAAAGGCAAGAGTCAATCATGTTAAAGAATCACTAAGCGTTAGAAACTGATTAGTTTTCTCTGCTGAACGCACCCAATTCTAATGGTCATGTGGTTTATAGTGCTAATTTTAGAAATATGTGAGATAAACAACACAAAAGCACAGTACGCATTTGACGTATTGTGTCCTTGTTATAATCACAAGTTAGTATATCTATCATAAGGTAAGTATTTATATGTAATCTACTTTAAATTTCGATAAAAATATATTCATTTTGTGTAAAAACAAATATTCGAAAATTATAAATCATTGATTTATTATATTTTGTAGAAATAAATTCAAATATATTTTTTCTTTCTTTTTCAAAGTTATTCTTTCTTTTTTTGTTTCTGTTTATTTTCATTTTATTTAACCCAATATGTACCGTAAAATATAGTATATGGTTTGCTTTTATATTAGTATTCAATTCAAATTTATAAAATTTCAAAATTATTTAAATTTAAATGACTTCTAAATTTGTGTTACGCATTGTGTAGAATCACCTATATTTCACATGTAAATATGTGTAAAAAAATTTCTCATAATTTCTCATAATTATAAATTTTAACCATTAAAACATTTTTACTTGGGAAGTGTTAATGCAAGATAATCAAAGAGTAAAATATATAAAGTACATTCTATATTTTATATAAGATAATATTTCTTATGTTACATCATACACGATATCTACTTTATATTATAGATACAGTCACATTGCACATGTGCTAAAAACTATACTAAAGCTAGAAAGAAAAATTGTTCTGTTTTTCTCTAACACGGTAAAAAATTTTTCATCCATATATTATTCAAATATTTGTCAATATCGAATATTTGTCAATATATATATA